CAATGGAGGTGCAATTGCGTTATCGCGGTATATGTAACTCGTGTATGGAATTGCAATTCTATTGTATCGAGTGGTGCACGCCATCCCGAGAATGCAAACCAGCGTTACTCGATAACCGTTCATCGTTGGTCCTATTAACGGAATACCCGAATACTGAATATACAGTAAGTTCTCCCTAATTGACGCTCATTTTTTTTTTAGGAATCGCTAAGAAATGATTCTTCAAAATCCTCGAATAAAGATTCTTCGCAGCGAACATCAAGCTCAAGGATCGCACTAACGTGGGCATTATTCTCCTGAAATGTGAGAAAATCAATGAATAATAATTTTTCATCGTTCAAAGTACCTTTGAAAGCTGAACCTACCGAACCGGTCTAAATCCATTCAGTCTTGACATTGTTACGAGGCAACGTACACCGGTCATTTTTAGTACTCTATATTATTTTACTATTACTATAATAAATAATATATAATAAATAATTATTAATTATATAATATATAATAATTAATATATATTATATAATATATAATATATAATTATTAATATATAATATATAATAAATAATTATATATAATTATTATAATTACTATAATATCACTTTACTATTGCGAAGGGAGGAGGGTCGCTGATCTAGGAAAGGTTGGGAAACCCTGCCCGTAACCGATAACTGGGAATGTCGTTTTTTCTTTTCGTGAACGGGAGTCTGGTAGACGACTACTTTGCTGCAACGATATACTCTGTTTTGCGTTCCGCGCGTCTGATAGCGCTGACATCACGCAGCCGTGCAATCCTTTCACGGGCAGAGCGCAGAGGTTCTCGCGGCCTGGCGGGTTCGCGGGAGATTTATGGGATTCCTGGCGGAATTTTTGCCGCCACGCGAGACTCCTTTCGATTCCTCGGTGCACACACATTGTTATCGAATGATTTGTAACCGGTGGGCACGCCGGGTCGCGCCGGGATCGGACACCGAAGGTTTGTTCAACCGAGACCGTTGAAATGTTCCGTTCGATTTTGACGACGTAACACGGGTAGATCGGATAGGCGGTACGTTTGTATGTATCTACATATTTGTGTAATCCGGCGAGCCGTCTGTGTATGGTTGTCACGATCCACTGGCCGCAGACTTTCTGTTGCGCTTGATTCGTATTCGTCGCGACTCTCAATAGTCGATGGGCAAGAAATATTAATGCGATGAAAATCGAATGAAAATCGAAACGAAAGTCCTGTCATTTTCCTACGCTTGTTTCGTATCGCGAATTTCCCTCGAGAAACCGCATCAACTACTGAATCTATAATAGTTTTTCTGACTTACAGAATTTCCATGCGACACGACCTACAACAAGGGAACTCCGGTGACTCATGCACGCTGATTTTGACGAAACATTGCATAAGGGAGGACCAACCGACTTTCTCAACGATAGAGCCGTATTTAAGGCTGTACAGAGTTTACAGAAAATGTTGATCGACCTATGATGAAATTGCGGTGAGAAAGCGTGCGCGCAGTATATTCGAAAAATAAATATTTTTCCGCATTTGAATGACTGCAGACGAGCACAGGGCACAGCGTGGCCGTAGATCCGAAGTATGTGGATTCAACCGATTCCAATTATTTTAGCTTAAATTTCAGAGATTTCAGATAATACTTAATATATATATATATATACTTAATATAATATTATTACATTATTATAATATAGCGCTATATATCAATATAATATTATTACATTACTTAATATATTATTATAATATATTTTATATACTTAATACTTTATATTACTAATATTTAATATTTTCCTCTTAATATTTTCTGATCAAACGAATAATTCATTAATTTTCTCCTGGTAGGTAAAACGAGATATTACGTTACGAGAAGTTCGGATTGTAACAAGTGTCATACTTCGGATAATGGGTATGTATGATAATGGGTATGGGATAATAAAATGAGTGCTCTAGCATAGGATACTCCAAAGTCAAACGTGACAGTACCCAGGAACGTCACACGTGCGTCAGATGCCGTGACCGGGGAATATTGTTTGATACATAGATGGGAACGTGGCTGTTTCTTGTCGATGGTCCTCAAGGACACGGCGGAGCGGGAAAGTGCCCTCGCGGGTGTAGGTAACTACTGAAACGTACTCACCTTGTTGACAGCCGACCGCAAGGAAGCAGCAGCTGAGAACGAGACAAGTGGGTATCGTTCTTATGGACCAGCTATCGGTCCCCTTGCGCCTCGACATTTTCCTTCGGGCACTGTTCGAAGCCTCACTATCGGTGAAACACACCTCTGATAAACGACGATGTCTCGAGGCAATTCGCCCAGGCTGTCAGTACAACACTGTCATTGTTCACTGTGGTCGATTCGCGGCGGGTGCTGGATTACCCGACCTGGTCACCGGTACCGTCGGTGGCTATCGATGGACAACGGACGGACACATCGCTGCCGCAGAAATTAATTGTAACCAAAGGAAAGAGGACGACACGTTTGCGAGGACGGCGCGCTTGTCACTGGCCACAGCTAGAAAGCAAAATCCCACTTTCACTTGGTGGTGCGCGCCTCGCGAGGCGGAGCTGGCACGCCGAGGCCATCGGGGTCTTTCCCTCTCTCTTTGTCCCTCTCTTTCCACAGCGGGCAACGTCGGCTCTCCCCGACTATAACGCATGTTCATACACGTCTCTTTGTGACGATCAAATTCGAGGGACTCCGAGATCTTCTGAAAAACTCCAGGGTCCGGGTTCGGTGGCAATTTTAGCGCGTCCCGCTGGGTTTCGCGTGTACGTACAGGTTGCATCAAAAAAGGGTGCCGCGAACCGGACATGCGGCGATGACACTGCCGGTAGACTCAGAGATTCCCGTATAACGCGCGATCCTACAACACGGATTCCTGTAACGCGTTGCGAAGATATTGCGACCGGACAGTTTTCCATGTAATTAAATGCGATTAAATGCAGCAAAATTACACGGAGACAGAGACGTTGGAATATGTAACTTTGGACGACTTTGGACATTGACTAACTGCCGACACTGGACAAACGCTTTTTCGGTTTTGTTTAACTAAATTGCAAGGAATTTTTTAAATGTTATATTTCGAAAAAAGCCATTAGAACATTATCGTGATCCTTATTCCGTCATAATAATACTTTCCCCGGTTGCGCCGACCTTGCCCGTCCTTTCCCTTTCGAACCCATCTGGTTTCTCGTCGAATGCGAGAAATGAATTAATATTAATATAAATTATAATAATTAATATAATATATAATAATAATAATTAATATAAATATAAATTATAATAAAAATGAATTAATATTCAGAGTAGAGAGACAGTATATTGATTCGCAAAGGTCGTCTGCGGCCGGCAAGGGTTAACGATCATGTTCCAACAGGATAAAGTCAACTCCAACAAATATATTCGCGAAGGTCTTGGCGAAGGACACGCCCGTGTTATAACATTCCTGGATCGCATTCCCCAGAATATAAAGAGGGCGTCGGTAACTTCGATAAAAACCTGCCGGGTCGTAAAGTGTGTTATAGTATATAAAACGGGGCTCGCATGAATACATTTACTGGAAGTTTCCAAAAATTACTTACTATTCATTATTTCAAATCTCTTGTGCGCGGTGTCCTTGAAATCAATTTTCTCAAATTAGCATGCAGCTTAGTTAAAAACGTGACGTCAAGGGTGATATCAATTATTTGATTTTGCGATCATATCGAAGAGTCCTGTGAAGATGATATTCAAGAGCTGTTGTTAAGTTATTAAGCTTTATTATTCGAATCTCTGCAGGAATTTCCTAACGCGAACTATGGTATCTTACCCTAAACTTTGAAAGCTGTTTTCACTCCTCCAGTATGAGCGACAGCAATTTTTAAAAAATCTGTCTATCAGTCTGCAATATTTTTTAAAGAACTATATAGGATGTCCCAAGTTTTGTTATGTTATTCCCGGAAACGAACTCGGCTGGCTTCAAACGACCTCGGGAACCCCTCATTTCCCTTATAGCCTAAGAATATCTACGTCTTGTCTATTATTATCGATATTTAAAAATTTGTGGACAACATATCATATTTTGCATAATAAATATTTTGCATAATTTGGGAAAATGTTTCACTAGAAATCCTAAACGCAAGACTAAAGACACCAAAAGGTTACAAACTTCTGCAAAATTATATTTTTATTATTTATTGATTTATTTGGTCGCGATAATTAATTTGTGTAGGGTGTGTAGAGCGCACTGAATTTTGTTGAGTAATACAATTAATTTATAATGTCTAACATAAACAAAGTTTATTACATTCTGCGTAGTAAATATTTTATAACATCATGGAACTACAGGATTACATAAATCGAAATTATACCCTTGGTGTAAAATAGTGTAATTGTTCAATAAGTATTCAAATATCACATCTACTGTACAAAATTACTCTACGTATATTCTTCACCGATTGTACGAAATAGAATTCTGCAATGAAATATTACAAAACATTAGAAATAGAAAATACATTGTTACTGGAAAATTCGTGACGAATATTATTTGTCAATATTAATTATTATTTTTATGATTTGTTATCGTATGAGACAGATATGTCAGTGTGATTTTTATTTAGTATATGAAAAATCTCATACAGTAAAAATACTATACAAATAACTTATTAGTCCGTTCAAACGTACTTATTTTTTAGAAGGGAATACTTAAAGGATACTTACGTCTCACTGTCCAACAGAGCTGTGTGCGAGGAAAACATTTTTAAAATCGAAAGCAATAACTTTCGAACTGAAGCATGAATTCCGTAAATGTGTCGAGCATGATTGTCGTGTGTTATGCTTTTTTTTCTAGGTACAAGAATTACATTTTCGAAATATTACATTTAACGTTGCTTTATAGAAATTCACTGCATTTGTTTTTAAACTAGTCGAGAGCATGAACTCGTCACAATTCTCATATGTAATTTTCATACAAAATATTTGTAATAGAATGTACTTATGTAACAAACCTGGATAAAATATGTATAAAATACGTACTTCATGATTGTACTCTACATAATATTTCTAATAATTCTTTTCTAATTGGTATTTATATATAACATAAGTCAACAAATAATGATATGCTTACACTATGGCATCTTTACAGTATGACACTCGCATTATTAGCTGTGTGGAATTGGCGTTAGTTTTATTGAATCCTATAATTACAGGCGATAATCATCTCGAGTGTAAAGTACTTCAATTCAACTACAGCTAGAAATTCAATCACTGATTTGTTATTTGGACACCATATGTATACGATGTATACGTAATGTATACGTATGCCTTGATGCGATCCTCGTTAGCTGGAATAACAAATTTTCCAAATTTAAACACCTGTACACATGTGTTTCCCCATATTCTCCGAAGACTATAATTACTTTGTGGTTGGTCTCCTTGATGGCTCTGAGGCTGTAGGTGGCGGTGGCGGACCCCTACGTGCCAACTCTTCTAAATAGCCCATTAGTAAACGAGTTCGTTCAGCAGCTGCTGCTTCCAGTACAAGAAATCTTCGATCCTTCCTTAAAATTTCCTCAATTTCTGCCAAATGTGCATTATTCTCTTGTACTTTTTTGTACGTTTTATCAGTAATCAACTTCGTCTCCTAAAATTAAACATTTTATTAGGAGTTGCCTCGACTTTGTGTATTTTTATGGATGCTAAATCGCCATTCGATGAGTCAATGTTAACAATAAAAAATTGTTGTATAGTTTCAAATACCTGAAGAAGTTCTCTAAAATCAGCCTTCGCTGCAACAAGTTTATCCTTAATATATTCCTTGAATTCTTTCTCGCATTTCTGTAAGTATTACCGTAAAAACATTATAATTATAAATAACAGAGCGAATTTCGATGTAGCAACAAAATGTTAGTAGTTAATAAATAAGCTGCGGATCTTTATGCATGCATAGAATCTGTGAATTCATAAAATAGGAAGAAAGTCTGGAGTTAGCTAAAATTAGTTGTATATTTGTTTTGTTGTTGCTATAAAAAATATTCTAATTAACAGAATACCCTTTTACCACGTTCCCATTTTCACAAAATAAGCTATGAAAATTATAATTTGCTTAAAAGTACATAGCTTAATAACATGATTACATACCCGATCACTAGACGAAAATTTAAGATATCTAGGGTCGTCTTTTAGTAATTTTTTAATATCTCTCCACGATGCAGTAAGTTCCGTCGAAGCACCTACTTCATCAAGAAGCTCTCGGAATTTATCACGCTTTTTGCGACTGAGTTGTTCTATGTGTTCGTTAAATAGCCTTTCCTTCTCCTCTCGGTCCAAATTCTCTGCGGACTCCCATCTGTGATCTTTCCTTAATTGTCGTTTTGCTTCTCGCCATGCCAGGTCACCATTTCTCACCTATACAAACATATATATACACACGCATGTTACAATAATTAAGTCTACAGAAACTAAATCTTTAGACTAAGCGAAATTACACAAACAGGGTACATACTAAATCTGCAAGAAGAGCACTGAAATGTTGCACCGCTTCTGTGTGTCTATGGTGCTGCCTCTCTTTATCTCTGTCTCGAAGGTGGGTGGCAAGAGTCCTTTGAACTTCTCTCTCTCTTTCACGGAGACTTGCTTCTGCTCTTCTTTCACGTTCTCGTTTTAGTTTCTCACGATCCTCTTCCGAGTCAGATTGGTCTTCCACATCTTCCTTCTATACAAACAAATATTACATATAATGTATAGCAGAATTAGTTGATCAACACTTTATCAATCGATGACACGATATCGTGTCAAGTTCAATAATAACATAAACCCGTTCTGTGCTATGGAAGCATTAAGCAAAAGTTATTAATATAAACTACGCATGCGTACATACACATAGGTAATTACAATTGCAATTTACACAAAGAAATTTTATACAATTACCTATACATATCATTACCTATACACAACTTTAACATATCATTGATAAATACTTACATCATTTTCTTTCTTCATTGGTTTTTCGTCATTGTCTTCGATTTCACCGCTTTCTTTCTCTACTACCGGTTCCTTTTTGTCTTTACCATTCTCTTCAGCCGGTACTTCGCTTCTTCGTTGTTTTTTGTCCTTTGAACTATCCTTGTCTGCCCGATCCTTCGAAGACTTCTGCTTGTACTTATCAACATCCTTCCTGTCCCTATCTTTCTTTTCTGACTTGTGATGGTCTTTGTCCCTATGCCGGTGGTCTTTATCTTTCTCCTTCTCCTTTTTCCTTTCCTCTTTTAACATACGTATGTAATCCCTAAACCAATCCTCCCGTGTGCTTGCTGACTCTACCACTCTGTACCTCCAATCAGATTCCAACTTTTTCTTACAATCACTCCAATGCGAATGTCTGTCGATGTCTTTGTGTTCACGTAGCATCGCTATGAATTCCTTTTTCACCTGAAATGCATTTATCATAATAGTTTTCATTATTGAAGAACGATCAGTTCTTGCTTATACTCTAATTTGTACAATTCTGTCTCAAAATTGAAGCTGTATCTTATTCATTCTTTTTTATCTTCTTAACTGTTTCAGTTTTAATATCATGCACGCTTAATATTTTCTCAACCAATGACTTATACACGTTCAGCCACATTACAATCACTTTAACAATATATTGTTATCGTAATTATTATTAATTAGAAAGAAGTTAATGACTTGTAATGTGGATCAAACTATTTCAACTTGCAAACCTTTTTAATGGTTTTCAAACTACATTTTCGTTAGGGGTAGAAGAAATAGTCATTCATGTCATTCGTTCGTGTCAGAAGGTATCGCAACGTTAAGGGCTCTACTTGTTGGAATTTTTAATGAAATAAGCTGTCAGATTCGCTGAAAAAAATTATACTCATTATAGCTGCAAGAATAATTATTTTCAACCGAGTCATCATTAAACATTCTGCGTATCGGAATTCAGGAAGCAATGTGACGAACAATTCAAATAATGTCGTCAGAAATAATGATTAAAGGATTTGCTCGTGTTTAATGATGAAACGGAATCATAAAATTAATAGATTTATATCTGCTGCCCTTGCTGAAATAAAAACAATCGTTAGTATTATCATCACGAGATTTTGAAAATATTAAAAGCTTTCAGCCGTTCAAATTACGAAACGGGCATTACTTTTCTAAACCATGTGTTACCACAGTACCTTTTCAGTACATATAAATCTATATAGTCATCATTACCGTAAAACATACTATGATGATAGTGTGTAACATGAAAATGGTAAATAAAATTCCAAGCAAATAAAAACAAAAAATCTTATAATTAAACTTGACTTGTATATATTTAGAGGTTCTAATTAAGAAAATTGCTTCAATGAGTTATTAGAATACATCGTACAACCAAAGATCTGATACTATGGTTATACTGTGCTTATAAATGATTTTGATATATTCAACTTTATTTTCACTGTTTCATGTTTCTGGTTCCTGTACTTTAGATTACTGTGAATTAGAAACCAAGGTATTAAAAATTCCCATTACGTAATTTGCGAACGACCTATAATTTTAATATAATTAAAATAACATGTTAATGTACTTGACTAATCTTAATACATGTTCAATTTGTATCGAGAATACGATTAGAGCTGGCACATTTTGGTCTTGAATTTACCCTTACAGTTATTACTCGGATCCTGACCCTATGTATATTTTAGAAGTAATTAAAAATTTGTGCCATAACTTTAAATAACTTCTATCTCAGTACAGTTGTTTGTAAAGTCCACTTCTATTTTTCTTAAGACGAAAGCAGTCAAGGTTCTCTGAAGGATACAAACCAAATTTCATGAAAGCACACTCATTCTATTACATCTGTGTACTCATATCTGATGTTTTGCTAGACTTCTTTAGAAACAAATTGCATTGTACCACTTGCAAAGTAAAAACATTTGTAATTTTCACAACGATACAAAAAAAAAAGTAAAGAAAAAAATATTTACCATTATACGAATTCAGATGCAATCGATCAATTTTGAATTTGCGTATCAATTTTAATACAAGTATTGGCATAAGAACAATTCTAAACATACAAGGCATTCTAGTGAAAAATTCAGTATTTCGTTTACGCTTGCCCTTTCTACAAATATTAATTCTATTACTCCATCGATAAAACTATTGTCAGCAGGAAAATATAGTTATAAAATTTCTAAAATTATGTTTATTTAAAAATACAAAAAATAAAGTTAATTTGTTCTTATGTCGATACGTCTGACGTGATAAAATCTGGTAGCTTCTTTCTCAAGACAGATAACGGTTCTTTATCTCCAGGAAACAGAATAAGATCTGTAAGTACGCATGGGAATTGATGCTACCACCTGGGTGTACCACCCCTTCTAACTGAATTCTATTCAATTTCATTGAGATTGGTTTTGATCTTTGGGGAAAAGTTAATCTTTTGAAGTAACGAGGATTACGAGTAATATACAAATACCGAGTTCGTTCATTCTCATGACTCTGCTTTGGAGTAAAGAATGCGGCGCGCGAGGGTGTGCCAACTGTGCCACGCAGTGTAGGTGGGGATGGTAGATGACATCATCCATGCCACCAACCAGCTTCAGAACCAAGCCACTCCACATACGGAACCTGTCCTGCCTGCCTCCTGACTGAAGTGGAGAGTTTAGAACACATAAGTACATAAGGAACCGTCACATACTAAGATTTTATTCTCTACATCTCCCATCTTACAGCTACAAAACTTTTGTCTATCGAGAAAATCTACTGGAGTAGAGAATTATTAGAGAAACTTCTCCTGGTATGTGTTCTTCAGCCGTTAATTTTAGGAATTCATATTAGATAATCTTACAAGTGGAACAAAATAGTAACATACCTATAGAACCTGAAAGAATTATCAATTATCGCTGAAAATGTAAATTCATTAGGTATTATCCTGTCCTATTTCAGATCAGAACATTTTTTGAGTACTTCTTTGCTCGTATCTCTTATGTTAACGCACATCATGAAATCTCACTCAACAATATAGCATATAATCTCATTGTTCTTTAATGAACAATAATGAAATATAAATTTTGTCGCTTACATACAAGAGTTCGCTAAACAAAGGACTCGCTTAGCATTCATTTAACTGTTGTGAATGTATACGTAGTATATGCTATGTCTAAATTTTATTTGTTGTATCTTTAATAATATACTATATGATTTCTTTGAACCAAATGGAGGATGTATGAATGAGAACCTTAATGAAGTCTGTTAAGGGAAAGGAAAAGGTTTGATGGTATTGTATCCAAAAAGAACTTTTGTTTCATATTATTTTGATATCTTTAGAGAATTGAGGTACCCAATATTAATAGTAAGACAGTAAAGTGAAATTGACACAATAAAAAATATGGTACAACTTCGATCACATATGAAAACTAAAACGTATTCTCGAATCGTTGCGAATAAGTTTCTACAAATATCGTTCTAAAGATAATGTATGGTTTAAAAATTGTTGAACATATTAACAGAAAAGGTACCACAATTCTCAAATACTTGGTATACTTTTTATCACGCGAATAAGATAATGTAATTTTAGAATTTCGTCTTACTTATGGCATTGAATATCTAAATTATTCATAAAATTTTTTGTTTTATATATTGTAGCTTGAATCCTGAAAAGTAATGTTTGCATTGCCGGTAAATCACACATATCAATAAAATATAAATACCTGTTCTCGTTTTGCTGTTTTTTCCTCTTTCTCCTTTTTTCGCACTTCCAGAAGATATTCGTTGAAAAGGCTCTCACGTTCACGCATCTTTTCTACATTCTTAAATCGTTCATCACGCCCATGCTTTTGCGCAAAATCACTAAATGATGACCTACACAAAGAAGACCAATTAATTTTTCTAGTTAATTAGCAAGCGACAAATATTTTAAAATTTAAAAAAAAAACTTTATGAAATCTTTACATACTTCCCATGGAGACCAGCTTCTTCTAATAATTTCTGGAATTGTTCCTTCCGTTCTTTCATTTTGTTCCTCTTTTCCCGCCTCTCTTCTTCTGCCCTCTCCTTTACGTATTTCTCGAACACTTGTTTCCTCTCCTTCGACGTCAAAAGTAGGTACCGTGGATCGAATACTATTTTATGGAGTTCTTTTTCCCATGTACTGAACGCGGACACCTATTAAACCCGCAAACAATAATATATGTACATAGTGCTGGATTAGTCATTCAATTACGTTAGATTCGTGAAATCTTACTTCTTTCTCTGCAAGCATATCTCTGAACGATTTAATTCGTGTTTCCAGGGGAACAATTGCTCTTTCTCTAGCAGCTCGAACCTCCGCTTCTATTGCAGCCTCTTTGCCGATATCAATAGTTTTCTTATTTTCCTTTTCTTCTTCCTCTTTTGGTGTTACAGCTGGTATAAAATCAGTAATTAATTAAAAATTTTTTTTAATATATTGTTCTAATATAATTTTCTTTTTTATAGAAGACATTCGGAATTTAAACAAAAGTTCGTTATTTCCTGACCCTGAACACTGCTTCAAAACTTTTACATATAGGGTGGTTCATCGCCTACATTAATTCAAAAATGTTTGTACATTAACCCTCGAATTACTCTGTGACTCATATTATTATTTCACTCACTTCTATATTGTTATAACTATAGGAAACATTTTAGTGGTTACCTTTGGATAGACCACCCTATACATATTTGTATCATATGCATAAAAATTACTTTTAGCTTCTTCTTGTTTCATTTTCTTTGCTGGTGTTGGTTGATCATCGTCACTGCTTTCACTTGTATCCGACTGACGCGATGTTTTAGTTGGTACAATTGCATCTGGTGGAGTAGACACCATTTTGTCAACATCTTGCCGACCAATAAGATCGTCCGGTCTTTCCCATACCGATATGCGTGAAGAAGGATTGTAGAAAAATACACGTCCATCACCCGTCCACACAACACACCTGAAAACAGAAGGTTGAAGCTTATGTTCAAATCACATGTTGTAACTTTACTGAATTAATGTTTAAAAGTATACCAAGGAGTTCCAGGCACTGGTGTGCTAGAAATTGGTCTAGACTTATCTTGAGGTTTAGCAACTTCTTTAGGCGCAGCTTCTTCTTTCTTAGGTTTGTTAGTATCAACTTCTTTTACACTATCTTTGGTTTCATGATTACTTTCTTGCTGCTTTTCTTGTTTGGTAGGTTCAGTGGCAACATTATTATTAGTTACTGTGGAGCTAGTGACGACAGTATTCGTAGAATTTACGACTGCCTCTTCCGCTTTTTGTCGTAAAGCTAGTTTTGCACCTAGTAACATATTTAATTATAATTATTGCTTCATTTTATCCTTTTTCCAGAAATTTATATTATGAATTACATACTTTCAAGATCTTTTAAAGGCTGTGGTTTTTCCCAAACAGATTCACCAGCTTTGCTATTGTAATAGTATAATCTTCCATCTGGAGCACGATGCTCTGTCCATACTATAGCAGACGCTACTAATTCCTGATCAAGTTGTGCCAGAACAGCAGGATCTTCTGCTGGTGCCTGTGGAGCTATTACGCCATGTGGCATTTGTGGCATACCTAACATACGTATACTTTTTAATGAAGTACAGAAACATTACAAAAGAATCTCTTATATAAAATATACGCAGTTTATATTACCCCAATTTGTTTGCGGTGGACCATAGCCTCCGAAAGGTTGAAAACCTGGTGGTGGCATACCGAAAGGTGCTGCTCCAAATTGTGTTGCAATTGGACCCCCAAATTGATTTGGCATCCTATGTTGCATAGGTATCATATTAGGGGGTGGTTGCATCATATTTGTATTTACTGCTGGTGTATTCATAGCTGGAGTACCAGTGACAGTTGCAGGTGCCGCACCTAAATATTAGTAAACACAAGAATTTTTAAGTTAATAATTTTCAAAATGTAATAAACTTTACTTTTTTCCCATAAAAATAGTAATAATACCATTTGTTTGAGTTGTATCAGATGGCTGTGTGTTAACATCTGGAGTCTCACCAAGTGTGGGAGGTGGACCTGTTCCAGGTGGTGCCGTACTAAGCTGATTCATAGCATCCGCATTATTCGCAGAAGGTTCACTATTTTGAGAAATTCTATTCTCACTGATTTGGCTTGGTGTAGTAGCCGTTGATGTAGGGGTATTAGAAGGGGCACTTTGTTTAGATGCTCCATGAACCAATTGTTCTAACTACAGGACAATAATTATATCTATAAATACATCAAACTGTGCAACAAGTTTACAAAAAAATTTTACATACCTGATCTTGCACCATGACCTTCACATTTGGTCCCTCTGGTTTTGTCCATGTGGTTTCTCTTGTACGAATATTGTAGTAATAAGACTTTCCATCAGGTGTTTTCGTTTCTACCCATACTTCTCCATTGAGATCTAAGCCTGGAATGTTTGCTTGTTGCTGAGCCTGTTGCTGTGGGGGCTGCTGCTGACCTGGAATCTACACCAACATTCCCTGTTTTACATTTAACTTACAAAATCAATTAGTTTTCTGTAAATCGAAATTTACGTTATTCATATTTGGTGGTCCCATTCCAGGAGGTGGTCCATATGGGCCTGGACCTGTCCCAATTGGGCCATTCATCATGTGTGGCGGTGGCTAATAGCATATAAAGTTAAATATCCCTTAATCTAATCAAGAGAACTGAAAAAAATATACGAAATAATTACCATTCCTGGAGGTCCCATTAAATTTGGAGGTCCCATCAGATTCGGTGGTCCCATTGGTCCCCAACTGGGATCAAATGGTGGGGGTCCTCTAAAGCGTGGTCCTGTTGGCCCTGGTGGACAGTTTGGCCTGGGAGGTCCCTCAAAAGGAAAACCATTATTTGCTCCACGAAACATCGGTCCTCTGGGTCCAAATCCTCTTCCTCGAAACCTTGGTGGCCCACTTCTCATGGGGAAATCAAACCCACCTCTGCTACGACCCCTTAAATTATTGTTATATATCTTGACTATATACTTTACGTACCATACGTCTGAATCATTCACCCAAGTGTAGACATCTTCTTCCTGAGTTTAACTTTACATTTAAGAAATAAAAATGTATGTAAACAATGATTTCATGATTATTAATTTTAGATAACATCATATTTTTAAAGGCCTCATTACCTTTGCCATTTATTACATCAAAACAAAGAAAAAAATTTATAACACGAAAAACATAGAAAACTATTCACAGCATACCATACTGAACAGTTGTGGGTAAATCATTTCATCGTATAGGAGCGTAAGTAGAAACAACAGTCATATTTCTATAGTATTTAAATTATTAGGTGTTTACTGTAATACGAAATTCGGATCGTTTGTATTAGATATGTTAAAGAGATAGGTAGGATTACGGATGGGACGACTTAACCTTACTTCTTGCTTTTTTATTTTCGACGACGCGTAACTCAACAAATGTATGGGGTGTTAGGAAAAACTGTAACGCACCTAAAGCCTCCTCGTCCTCGAGGTACGAAATGTCTATAATCTTCTCCATCGTAACCATAATCCTCACTTTCTTCCATGCACTCATCATTGTGTTCCTGTTCATTATTGGAAACGGTTTCCGTAGCCGCAGAAACTTGTTCAGTATTCGCTTCCATTTTACGTTAATACAGAAATTAATATTTTCTTTTCTACACGCCCATCTATTTCTTTCCTCAGGCTTGCACAAAAACGCCGCAAACAAATCACTATTTTATTCGATGTAAGCCGTAAACATATTATTGCCAACATAAACATTGAATTCTCCTAGGCATTCTAACAGTGATGCAAACATATTCATCACGGAATCACGAACTACATAGATATAGTTCGGTAACTACGTGAACATTGTTACGACAGCGCTACCGTATTAATATGTTCTGACCAATGACAATAGGAGGTAAATTCAAATACATATAAAATGTAATATCATAATCGTATATTTCATAATATACAATTCTGACTTGCTTTAACCATAGTGTATATACACATATGTAGATAGGTGTGCACACATATGTATCCCTGACCAATTTGAAAATAGAGTTCCTGAAGTCATTTGAAGTAATTTTTTCCTTAGCGAGAATGAAATCCGTGGCATTGTTTACGAATTATTAACGAAAAACAGTGACCAATAAAAGGCGAGATCAGATGGCGCGAGACGTGGCGTGAGCCAATGAGCGGAACTGGGCTTTTTGCGTTTCGTTAGTTGGGCTGTCTCACGCCAGTCGAACTCGTCCCTCATTGGCCAGTTAATAACTCTTAAATAAAGATGCGGATTACATTTTTGGGACACCCTGTATAATAAGGCATAAAGGATAAAGCTCAATTGAACCGACTCTGCAGAAAATCATAGATTTATTATTTCTATAGAGAACACCGTGCCACAGACATTGCATTTTCCAGGCTTTTCTATTTAGACAGGCAGGTCTGGGCAGATTTAGGCAGCTAATGCTCACGGCTCACGCTTAACGCTGTTGATTGCTGTCGACGTCGATTGTTAAGTGGCTCGATTAAACGAAATTCATGTGTATACATATCTATAGTCACGATATCAGACAGTTGACTGAAACAAAGACGAATCATCTATGTGACATCAGAGTAAAAAGAAACCAATCTGGTACAGTAATACCTCGAGTTTTGCAAGACACTCTGGCCACAGCGCGCTCTGTTAGCGATAATTGGAGTAAAAATTACATTGCTCCAACTGGCTAATGATTCGACGCTAAAACAGAATTCACTGCAGCTTGGATGCACAGTGATATGGTGGGAACGCTTAAAAAAAGCTAAAGGAGATAGAAAAATTGTGCAAAACTTGAGGTACATTACTGTACCATATGTACACATGATATACAATCTGTAATCTTGAAAGAGTATTACTCCGATGTTCCAAACGTGTTAAAATCAAAAACAGTATAGGCATTTTTAGAAGAAAAAGAATTATATTAATCTGAAATTATGTATAAACATACATCATATCTGCAGACGCTTGCGCACGAAAAATTGATTCTAAAAAAACGTCGGAGTTTCGCTTCTTAAGCATCCTCTTTGCTAATGGCGAATATTTTCTGATATGTAAATGTAAAGTATTGTGTACCGTATAGTTTGAATTCGAATATTCGGTTCGTTCATCCGGCTAACGATTATAACAGCCAATAGGACATCGAATGTACTGTAATCAAATCCATTAGTTTCATGTCTTGTAATATTATACGAATTTGTTTTTAAAATCTTAATGAAGTATATTTAATGCAATCTCAACTGCTGATTTTTCTTTTATTTGTTATTCCTTTTCTCGCATTCATAGGTGGTAAAACCCGGAATATTATTAATTTAGAAACAGTGAATTTTCCGTTTCGCCACAGTTCTCGAGATCAAATCTGCTGCTAAACAAAATGATTCTGCTCCCGAATCATCCTTAAGCAACAGTACTAACGTTTACAATAAACTATCAGTGAAAAATCAAGACATCAAGTAGATTACTTGAACAATTATACAATGACTGAGAGAAGTAGAACATTACGGTCCAGAAGGAATTCTGGCCTTGATGAGCAAACTAGGTATATACAATGGTTTATAACATATCAGTTATAAGTAGAAAATTTGTTTTAAAATTCCTAGAATTACTTTAGAACAGTAGTTCATAGAGCCTTACGATATACATTCTTGTATTTCTCTTAACATTTTGGAGATCAATTAAAAATCACAATTATATTTTGAGTTCTGATGCCTGACGTCTCCTGAGTGGCCATAAGTATTTACGCACTTATATGTCAGATTACTATCGATTAGTTATGGTTGTCTTATGTGTAAATTACACTAGGTTTCGAAATTTTTTAATCTAAAAGCGCTATTGGACTGTCTCATTGTATTCCAGGTTGTATACCTAGCTATCTTAGTCTAGCCACAAGTTGCAAGACATTCTCATACTTAAATTTGGATGAGACTTTAGCTGAATAGGTCAATTGTGGCTCAAAACTGCCAATCCATAAAGTATTTAGTATTTTAAATGGTCTTATTCAAATAATGTACATAGTTTTAGCAAGCAACATACAAGAGCTGGCTCTGAGTCTAAGTCTACACCAACTACAGCCAGACCTACACGTAGAACAAGAGCTAGTTCTATGGAACCTGCAGCAAACATAGATAAAAATCAAATGAAAACAAATAATAGTGAATTAGTACATACTCCTATTAATACCAGAAAACGTAGGTCTATATTACCGGCAGGAAAACATGTAATTGAAGAAAAGGAACAGATGATGAATCCTGTAGTAGCATTGGAACGTGTAATGACCAATCTTAAAGAAATAAACGAAACATGTACGTAGTTGTTTTGTATCTTATATATAGTTAAATTTACTTTATGTACTTTCTTTATCTTAACTTAAATATTTAATTTATGTATCATAATAAAACCCTGACTCACACTGAATGTATATCAAATTAAATTTTAGGCTCTGAAAGTTTCACTACAGAAGATGTGAATAAATCAGTGCCTGTGTCAAAGAATGAAGTTGACACAGATCTTGAAGGTACATGTAAAGAAGAAACAAATGCTGATATAAATGGTAATTTTGATTCATTCAAATAAACTATCTTGTTTTTTACATTCATATTATACATATATTAAGTTCATAAAGAGATTTTCACTTTTCATCAATCAGATTAGATTTTAATTTAAAATAAAATCTTATATTATACAAAATTGAAAACTAGTTTCTACATGTAATATTTCAGCTTTAAGCAAATAACAAAGAATTAAAAAATTATTTTATTATGATAATAATGATAAAAGATCCAGTTTTAATTTAATTTATATTCAAAATCATTACAGCCAGAAAAGAAAACACTAATCCTGCGGAAAATTCTCCTATAAAAGCAGTTGAAGAAGTAAAAATGGATACGTCTATTAATAAACTCATAGTATCAGATAATAGTGAAAGTATAAATGATTCTATAAATACTACACAAGTGGAGTCACCGATAGAAGATGTAACAAAAACACAGGCTCAAAAAGAAGAAGTCACACCCAGAAAATTGGGAATGAAAAATGGAAGCTATGCAAACAATTCTATAAAAGAAGATGATGAAATTCTCGGTAACAAGGAGAACCAAGAGGCAAATATTATTGACAATTCTAAAAATACAGATGTCACAGTTTCCAATGTATTATTGCAAAGTCCAAAACTTGCAGTGAGTAATTTATGTGTTGGAAAATCAGTCAAAGAAAGTAATGAAAATGCAGACAGCTCAGATAATATGCAAAATGTGATGGTAACTGACACAGACTCATTAAATGAAAGTCCACTTAGTGAGAGTATGGATGAGAAAGTTTCATGTATTGAAGTATGCGAAGATTCAAGTCTAGATGACAACATACAAATCTTGAAATGTCCAGAAGATGTTAATGACATGAAATTAAGTCAGTATAGTGACATTGAGGATCAGAATACATCATCTGCAGATACAAATGTTGATAAAAATAGAGATGAAGAAATAGGCGCCGACAAATCTCTTAGATTGGAAACCAGTATGGAAGAACTACAGCATATTACTTCAGAAGATGGAACAATTAATAACGATAAAAATGTTGGGCCGCCATTAACTCCAAAAGCACACACTAATACACATGAGGGGGATCCGAAAGACGTTTGTTTAACTCCCATTGAATATGCAAGTGATAAATGTGAAGCGAACGAAGAAACTGCAACTTCAAATATATCCAAAAACGTAACAGATGCAGATATTATGAACTGTTCCAACTGGTCTGACATATCTATATCGAAGACAACTACATCTTTGTCATTAGCGACCAATGATTCTACTAAAGACGATTCTGCAGGTATCGAAATGGTTACAGAAACTCCTAGTCAAGAAAATGTAGGGAAAGAATCTTCAGATGTTGATATCAAATTAACTGATATTGAAACTACTAGTGTAGTAACAGATAAAGATAATATTACTAATGAAACTGAAAATGATAAATCTTGCAGTGATGCACAGTCTTCAGCTGAGTCTATTGAGAAAGTACTTGAAAAAGATGACGAGACACTAACCACCTGTACAATGGATGGCAGCATGACGTTCGATAGTGAGTGTTTGTGTGTGTTCTGTTCCAACACACAGAATAAAACGGAAGAAAATGAAATTCCTAAAATGTTTGAAAAGCATGACGAAAAACCGGAAGACGAGAATCAGTCCGATTCAAATGTGTCTAGAGAATTATTTAAAGATATTTCAGCTGATGAATGGAGAGATAAGATTTGTGAGACAAATTCTGTGCACTCCATGTCAACTGAACGATTAGAAAACGAAAGTGAGAATGAATGTGATGACTTTGTTTTGGTTGATAAGGAATCG